CCTGGGAAGAGCATAGATCTTGGGCTCCTCCTGTCCAACTGTGTGCACTTTCCCCCAGCCCATCCCCGTAGTCCATCACTTCCCTGAGGACTGGACTTTCCTCTGCCCTTAGGCACTATCCTGGTGGAGTGATGTGTGCAGAGGTTGTGGTCACCAGGAAGTGTTACCTCCCTGGACACCAACATGCACCCCACAGACTACTGCTGAGGGCGAGAGTTGAACCTTCCTCGTCGACCTTCTTTCAGCCTCAGACTTACTAAGTCCTGGCCACAGCTCTGGCCATGCCCTGTATCCTCCTTCCTCCCCAGATGTCATCGCCTCCTGACTCCACACTTGGCTCACCCAGTCCTCCTCGGCCTCCCCTGCTGGTGGTGCAGGACCCCAAACCCATGCCAGAGACAGGGGGACTATGGGGCCAGCATTGGGTCTGCACCTCTCCATGGTGTCCTTGAGGGTATGATGGGGACTTGGCATGTGTTGCTGAGATCAAGTCCATCCCATCCATTGTCACACAGGCTCCAGGCCCTGCAAACGCATGCTCAGGATCGAGTTGGCTGAGCAAGCCAGGGGTTCCCAAGACAAGGCTGCACCCAGCAGGGTAGGTGGCATGGGACAACCACCTGGCCTCGGACAGCTCACTCAGGGCGGTCCCCTGCACTTTAGGGACCTGTCCTCATACTGCCCTTGTCCTGGTATAATCTGAGACCACGGCCCTTGGAGGATGTGAGACCTCATCGTCATGCCATCTATCTGCCCTCACCTTCTGTTAACATCGCTGTCTTCTCTAGGAAGGGCAGACCCCCTCTAGGTTTGTTTTTGTTTTTTCATGTTTTGAACAGTTTAAGATGTCACTCTTGTGATTAGAACTGTTCCCAAGCAGCATTTGGGACGTTATTCTCAGCCTGGGCTCTGATGTCCTCCCCCTCCGGGGACAGTCAGCATTGCACATGGTCCCTTCAGCCATCTTTCAGAAGCAACATTGCTTTTTTTTTTTTTTTTTTTTTTGAGATGGAGTCTCTCTGTCACCTAGGCTGGAGCTCAGTAGCGCGATCTCGGCTTACTGCAACCTCCACGTCCTGGGTTCAAGCGATTCTCCTGCCTCAACTTCCAGAGTAGCTGGGATTACAGGCATGCGCCACCGCGCCAGGCTAATTTTTGTATTTTTAATAGAGATGGGGTTTCACCATGTTGGCCAGGATGTTCTCGATCTCCTGACCTTGTGATCCACCTGCTTCGGCTTCCCAGAGTGCTGGGATTACAGGTGTGAGCCACCGTGCCTGGCCGCCACTTTGCTTTTTAAGGTTTTTTTAAAAAATGGGTTCTAAATGTTTTGAACTTTGCTTTCCCTGTTTGAAGACATGGGCACCCTTTAGTTCCCCCATAAACTCCAAAATAAGACCCTGCTTCCTCCTAAGATGAATTTCCAGCTTTGTTGGTTAGAAATGAGTTCAGAAAAGCAATGACTGTTCTGTTTCTTCTTGTTCCTTAGATGGGGCACATCCAGAAATCTGTCAGCTGCTCCACGGCAGCAGCTCCTGGCCCTTGGCAGGTACCAGGCAGAGCATTAGTACACTTGCCCTGGCTGCGTCTGGGTGGTTCAGAAAGCACCTCCCTGCCCAGGTCTGGCCAGGAGGCCTCGGCCCATCCTGTCCCATGCCTGTCCTTCTTTACCTCTGTCTCAGCACAATCCCGACTGTTCAGACGTGGGGCTCCGCCCGGGGATAAGTTAAGCCCCCTCCTTTGCTCCAGTCCTGCCCCAAGTCTGTGGCGATGCCTGTGGAGTAGGGACCTATGAGAGCCTCTGTCAGACTCTCCACCAAGATCCACTGCTTGAAGGCTGAAGCTCATGCACAGAGAGTAAAACCGCTGCGGCCCCAGGCAGGGCATGAGGCTCACCCAGAAAGAAAGGAGCCCAAGGCTGCTGAAGCTTGAGGAGGGGCCCCGTGCTGAGGCTGTTGCACTAGCGGGGCCAACCCAGGAGGGGCTCTCCAGGAGGCTCCTTCCCTCTCCATGTCCCCTCTCCCGCTCAGCCTCCAAAATCATTGCCCAGATCCTGGCACCCCCTATAGGACACAGGCCGTGCACCCCCTCGCTCCCCACAGTCTGGCTACGGAATGCCCTCCGTTTGAGCTCCAAACCCTCAACGGAGGCAGTGGAGTTTCTAAGAGAACATCTCTTCTGGCTGGTTCCAAGGGACCCCATACAGCAGGGGTGCCCTCTGCATCGGAAGTCCTGTGAGGGGAGGTGGGGAGACCTGGGTCAGAGCAGGGAACGCTACAGTTTGCTCTGGCAAAGGTTCCTGGGACCTGAACAGCCCAAGCATTTCCTGAGGACCCTAGAAATCCCTTTCTTCTCCCTTCCCGAGCCTACCCTGAGGCTGCTCCAGACCTCGCCAGGCCAGTTCTGCAGTCCCCCGGCCCACAGCAGAAAATCTGGGGTTCAAGCAGGTGGGACTCCTGCTGCCAGGCCAGGCACCCCAGGGCCCGCCACGGGGAGGGGCTGTGGGTGTGTGTGGGGGTCCTGTGTGGCCATCAGAGACTCAGACTGAGGAGGGAGATGCCGAGCAAGCCCGTGCCTGTGGATTGGGCAGAGGGGCTGGCCCTCCGGAGGGAACTGGCCGGGTGTGATGAGGAAGTCACAGGTGACCCCTTCGCCCCCATGGCTGGGGCTGCCCCATTCCAGCCTCCACCTGGGGCGGCAAGGGGTGCAGCATTCTGGGCAGCCTGACTCTCAAGCTGCCCCCAGAGCGGGAGACAACAGGCTGTGCTTCCTTCCCCAAACCTGATGAACACAATGACGCCTGAACCACACAGCCAGGCCAAAAGGGATCCATGGGAGCAGAGGGGCTCTGGGCGGTGCAGGACATCGCTAAGGAGGCAGAGGGAGCATAGGAGACAGTGGGGCGCAGGGGGGCAGGGGAGAGGGCTGCAGGTGGCAGGTGAGGAGGAGGGTGGGAGTGAGGGTCCTGTGATGGGGCATGGGCAGGGGGTGGGGGTGGGGGAGGGTGGGGCTGTGGTCTAAGGTACTCCTGAGCCCTAGCTGTGGGGTCTGATCTGCTGATGGGAGGCTCTAGGAGGCCACATGCCCCCACCCTTGCCCAGCATCTGCCCACCCCTCAGGGCACTCCATCCACCCTAGGATCCCACCTGCCCCGGCAGGTGTCTGGATGGGCCACCAGGGACCCTCGAGTCTACCTGGCCAGCAGGCAGGCAGCAGCACGCTCTGTGACATATCTCACCCCAGAAGCTCAGAGCAGGGGGACAGGGCTCCGTTCCACTTTCTACTTTTCTTCTAAGTAGAATATAAAGGAAAACCTCGTCTTCCTCCGCTCCAAGGGCACAGGCCTCTCCAGGCTGTTCTGCAAACTACAAAGTTCCTCCTCAAGGATCCTTAGAAAAGAAGCCAGTGCCCCGAACCCCACAGAAGTCTGGGGCCAAGAGACTCGCCAGTTCTGTCCCTCTCCCTGCCCGGCTCTAGGGGAGGCCCAGTGGCAGTAGAACTGCTCACACTGCCCATCAGGGACGCGGGCCATGTCGCCAAGGGCAGTTTCCTATTGGTGCAGAGGCAAGTCACATCAAACTACTCCTGCTACTTTAAAAACAATTCATTTTTCTGGATCAGAAAAGTAATACATAATCATTTTAAAAAGAGGTTTTTTTTTTTTTTTTTTTTTTTTGAGACAGAGTTTTGCTCTCGTTGTCCACCCAGGCTGGAGTGCAGTGGCGCAATCTCAGCTCACCACAAACTCCATCTCCTGGGTTCAAGCGATTCTCTTGCCTCAGCCTCCCGAGTAGCTGGGATTACAGGCATGCGCCAGCATGCCCAGCTAATTTTGTATTTTTAAGGGTTTCTCCATGTTGGTCAGGTTGGTCTCGAACTCCCGACCTCAGGTGATCCGCCCACCTTGGCCTCCCAAAGTGCTGGAATTACAGGCGTGAGGCACCGGCCTGTACTAAAAAGAGTTTTTAAATAGACAAAGAAGATACAAATTTAAAATCATCCACAATTTCACCACCTAGTGAGGTCCTCCGTTAGCCTTATTTACATATTTATTTTTTGAAGACAGGGTCTTGCTCTGACAGGGTCAAGCTGGAGTGCAGTGGCACGATCTCGGCTCACTGCAACTTTGAACTCCTGGGTTCAAACCATCCTCCTACCTCAGCTTCCCAAGTAGCTGATGTGCATGTGTGCCACCATGCCTGGCTAATTTTTTTTAAGTTTTTGGTAGAGACGGGGTCTCATTATACTGCCCAGGCTACTCTCAAACTCCTGGTCTCAAGCAATCCTCCTGTCTTGGCCTCCCAAAATGTTAGGATTACAGGTGTGAGCTACCATGCCTGGCCTCAGGTTTTTTGTTCGTTCGTTTGTTTGTTTGTTTTTAATACACATCTCTGTGGCAGAGCAGGGTGGGCAGAGCCCAGTGGGCAGGGAGTAATGCTGTCAGCTGTCCCTGAGGTAAGACGTACTATTACAAGAGATATCCTTGTCAGGTGTCAGGGTGGCATCTGGCCTGGGCCACAGCAGGCTAACAGTGGCCTATGCTTCTAGGGACTGGGCCCTGTCACCTCCCCAGCTGACATCTGCCATCCCTCAATCTGGTCTCCAGCAGCCAGGCCACCAATAGGCATCTCTGAGACCATCTGTCCCTCTTCATTCCCCTCGGGGAGGGCTGGCCTTGTGGGAAGGGCTGCCTGAGGGTCCACAGGAAGCCCCGCCTGGACGGAGCCCAAGTTCCTCCATTCCATCCCCACACTGAGAGGCCCACAGACCCAGGGCCAAGCCCTCTGAACAGGGCCTTGGGCGTGGAGGGGAGGTGGCCTCTTGGCTCTGCACTGAGGTTACAAGTTTCCTTTGGCTTCATACCCATCACCCTGGGGTGTGGGTGAGCAAGGATGCTCAGGACCAGACGTGGGTTAGAAAGAGCAGCAGGAGAGGGTAAAGGAGGGATGGTGAGGGTATAAGGGAAGAGGGACAGGACAGTATGAGGGCTCTGCACCCACCTGGCATCAGCCTCGCTGTAGTATTCTCTCGCCACAATGTCTTCAAAGAGCTCCCCACCAGTGACCCTATGGGAGAAGCATGAAGGGGTCACAGATTCTGGAGACCCCTGTCACACTGTCACCTCCATTACTACTACCACCACCATCACCACTATCATCACCATCACTCCCATCATCACTAATGTCACCATCACCAGCATCATCACGATCATCACCACCACCAACTACCATTATCACCAACTACCATCACCATCACTACCACCATCGCCACCAACCATCACCATCACCACCAACCACCATCGCCACCAACCATCACCATCACCACCAACCAACATCACCATCACTACCACTATCACCAGCATCATCACCACCATCAGCACCACCACCAACTACCATCACCAACCACTATCACCAACACCATCACCACCATCACCACCATCACCACCACCACTATCACCATCACCACCACCACCATCACCATCATTACCATCACCATCACCACCACCATCACCAGCACCACTATCACCATCACCACCACCACCATCACCATCACCACTATCACCGTCACCACCACCACCACCACCATCACCATCACCACCACCATCACCACCACCACCATCACCATCATCACCACTATCACCACCATCATCACCATCATCACCACCATCACCATCACCAACACCATCACCTACACCACTATCATCACCATCATCACTATCACTATCACCACCATCACACCATTACCATTATCATCACCACCACCACCATCACCAGCACCACCACCTCCACCATCACCATCATCACTTGGGACTGACAGCTTACTAATGCTTACTTATCTATAATGACATTTAACATTTCAGTCCTCACAACCACTCTATGACTTTGGTCTATGCTCCATTTTTATGGATGAGCAAACAAGTTTCAAAGATTTGGTGAATTGCACAGAGTGGGCAGCACAGGACCTTTGTCTCGGGGTCTGCATTGTTATACCCAGGCCTTGTGACTCAAATTCCAAGTCTGAGAAGATCTGGTCTCCCCTCCTCAATACTCTCCCACCCCCACTTAGGGCCAGAGTGGTGGCCCTTGCACAGGATCAGAGGCCCAAAGACACGGTGCCTAAATCTGGCCTCCTTGGTGGCCCGGGATCTTGAGGTGTTCAAGGTCCCATCTCTAGGAGGAGAACAGAGATGACAGGCAGAAGGGAGGTCTCTGCCCACTCTCCTGCCCTGTGTCTCCACCCAGTGAGTAGTCATTGGGCCCTACGGTCAGGATAGACCCTGTGAGCAGAAGCCACAATCTGAAGGGCCTCTGGGAGCTGGGTAATGTGGGCATGGAACAAAAAGGTGGAGGGGCTGGATGCACGGCAGGGGAGTAGGACGGAGCCCTCCGCGGGTCTGCCCAAGCCCCTCACACACTCAGCCTGCTTGAGTCAGCTGGAAGACTCCCCTAGAAGTTCCCACCCCTGAGAAGGTTAGGGTCTCTACTCCCACACCACCTCCTGTGACCCTATGTGTGGGGCAGGCCTGTGGGGCCCGAACCCCTCCTCTGCCTCCAAACCCTCTTCCCCATCCCCCCACCTGCTCCACTGCACTGCCCAGGCGCTGTGGCTTCTCTATCTGCCTGGCAGTTTTCCCCATTGGTTCTGGAAAGTAGGGCTTAGGTCTTCCTCATTTTTGGGCCCAGCACTTGGGGCTGGGCTGGTCCACGGCAGGGAAGACCCAGGGAGTGGGTCTGTTTCACATGTGACCTTGGCACATGTGGATGCTCTCTCAGCACTGGAGAAAAAGAAAAGTGAGCATGTGTTGAAAGTTGGCTCCCCCCTGCTCCAGCTAAACACATGCCCTGATGATCCCATTGAATCCCCTAAAAATCCTGCGAGCAATGTGAGGGTGAAATGCACTGGGAAGACACCCAAGTCCCTGGCACCTAGCAGGGCATCAAAGGATTGGGTGTTCCCTTTCCTTTCCCCGTTTTTCTGTCTGGGCTGGGGGCTGGGGGCTGGGGGCAGGGGCTCTGCCTCTGCTGCCTGACTGGCTCTGCTGTTCTGTGTCCCCAACCTGCACCTGACATAAGACCTGGAGCTCTGCTCACCCTTGCTCACTCCTCTGCATGCCTCTCTCACTCCTCATGAGCCAGCACATTTATACAGCCAATCAACCACCAGATCAACCACAAGGAAACAAAACAGTGTTGACGGGGGCCCTTCCCAGGGTCATCTGGTCTGGCTCCTGAGCTTGGCCTGTCCGTGAGGGGGTGTGTGTGCATGTGTTCACATGTGTGGGTGCCTGTGTGTGCCCTTGTGTACATGTATACTGGCTTGTGCATGTGAGCACATGTGCATGTGTGTCTGCGTGTCCGTCCGTACCTATGTGTGCCCATGCGTGCACTCATGTTCATGTATATTGTTTTGCATGTGTGCATGTGTGCCTGTGTGCATGTGTGTACAACTGTGTGCCTGTGTGTGCCCTTGTGTACTTGTAGAGCAGTTTGTGCATGTGCACACATGTGTGCATGTGTGTCAGTGTGCATGTTTGTACATGTGTGTGCTTGTGTGTATACATGTGCTTTGGGCAGGAGGATCAAATCCCACATCTAGCCCAGCAAGGGTCTGGCAGGCCCCAGTGTTGTACTGTAACTGTCCAGGTCTTGGCACACATTAAACACAGATTAGGCTCTGTAGATGCTGAGTCCAGGCACAGAACAGTGGCTAAAAGGCCTTAAGGTCTTGAGCCAGGGCTGCAGCCCAGAGTCCCTCCAAGGGGTGCCTCACTAGGGCTGATGCCAGGCCCTATGGGGTGCTCTGTGTGCTCAGGAAGCTGCACCTGAGACTCCCTGACCAGGGCCATCTAGTGGTTCAGTTTCAGGGAAGGGAGTTTGCTTCTCCACCCACGTTGGTTGCTGTGGGGAGTTTAGGAGACTCAATACTGGCCCAGGAGGAACATAGTCTGGGAAGGCACACATATGGTTTCATGGTCCCCTTTCCTTAGGCTGTGGGGGACACATGGCCGATTCTAGGCTTCAGCCATGGCACCTATGGGAGCTTCTGTCCTCTGGGTGTGCAGGTGTGTGTGAGACCCTCTATTCCCAAGCCTGGTTCTCAAGCCCTGTGACATTCCCAAGCAAGGACAGTGGGGATATCTGTCAATCCTCCAGAATCCATAGAGTCCCCAAACTACTGTGGGGCCTCAGGGCCTCCTGAGGGCGATGCCAGCCAACCCCAGAAACCACTGTCCCGGCCCTCTGCTGGCCTGAGGCTGGCTGAGGCACAGGGGCCATGGAGGATTGTGGGGAAGACATGCAGGGTCCTTCCTGACTCGCCAGCCAGTGTCTTCTTCCCAGCCTGCCTCAGGGCCTCCACTGACACCTGCCTGGCATGTGCTTGGCAAGATGGGAGACATGAGAGTCTCTCAAATGGGCACACACATGCATGAACACACCACCCTTTCTTCTCCTCAGCTCCTGTGACACATGCAGCCATCTGTTGACCACCAGGGCCCCTGGACAGGACCAATCCCACAGTCTCTCCATTTCCTGGGAAAAGAGGCTGATGGAGGTGTGGTGGGGCCCACAGGTGTGCAGCAAGCTTGCCAGCTCCCCAGGGCCACAGGACAGACGTTTCAGGACACAGCCTCAGCCAGGCCGTGGCGACTGTGTCCAGGTCAGCCCCAGTCACCTGGCTGGTGATTATAGTTGGTGTCTTGTGGGACATGCAGGGGAACCTGAGAGGTGGCCAAGCCCCTGCAGGGACAGTCTCAGCTTCTCTAGGCCAGAGAACCTCACGTGGACAGAGGCCTCCTCAGGCCTACATGTGCCATGGCCTGTCGTCTGTCACTTGAGGAAGGAGGAGCTGAGAGGGCAGTCCCCATGCAGGCGCGTCCTATCTCTGCTTGGCCTGCACGCTCACAGCAGCCATGGGGAGGGCCTGGGGTAACCATGGCAATAGCACCAAGGTTGGGCTTCCCTGGCTGTGTGGCCGCCTGGGGGCCACAGGGCCAGGCTAAGGCCTATGGGCCCTTGCCCAGGTCAGGGTCCTGGAGCAGCACTGACTCACAGACAGCTAAATATAGCGCTGCTTAGCAGGAACTGTCAAAAGTGAGGGAGATGAGATCACTGCTTCTAAATCCGGCAGGAAGTGAGAGGCGGCAGCGGCCCCAGACACCTTCTCACTGAGCTACCGCACACACACTCATAAAACACTCACACATGCACATTCATGCACACACACACGCACACATGCATGCACACACATGCAAACACACATGCATACACTTGTGCCAGCATACCCACATGCACATACCTCCATACGCTCACTCACACATTCACACAATACATGTGCACATGTATGCACATCCCCACCCATATGTACCCTGATTTCATGTGCTCACACGCCCCCATGTGCAAACACCCACACACACGCATACATGTGCACATGCTCACATCTCACAGCCACATTCATAAACACACACATGTGCGCTCACGCCAGCCAGCGGTGTCCCAGTCCTTTGGACGAGGGCTCCAAGGAAAGAGGGGTGAATGCAGCTTCTGACTGACTATTCCTCTGGGGTCCACCCACCCACTGCCTCCAGTGTACCCTGTTCTGTGTGGAGGAGAGGGGGAGCCCAGGATGTCAGCCCTGCCTCCGTGGGCCTCAGTAACCCTAGTGCAAAGCAAATGAGGAGAAGCGAGGGAGGCTGGGCCAGGCACAACTTGGAGCAAGGGGACCAGCAGCAGAAGCACACTCAAGGTAGTGGCCAGCCCACGGGTGGCGACTATTCCCTGGGGCTGGGGAGGGTGCAGATCCCACCCTGAGCCAAGGCTGGGAGTGAGTGTGGCGAGAGTCCCCAGCTCTGGAACTTACAGATCGAAGACCAGGTAGTGGAAGCCCTCCTCGGAGATGCTGTCGTGGAGACGCACTGTGGGGACAGAGAAGCCATGAGGGGCTGGCAGTAGCCCAGGACACACCCCCTGCCTGCCTCCATACCTGTTCAGGCACACCACGAGCTGTGTAAGCCCTAGGGCTGCCCACAGGATCGGGTTGGGTAGGGCCTAGGTGGGCAGGCCAGAGGGCAGGGCTGAGCAGAGTGCTTTGGGCCCTGTGGGCCAGCTGACCACCCAGCGAGCACCCACAGGGCCTCTGGGCCCCTGCCCTTTCCTTGCCCTCAGCTGCCAGTCTGGTCACCTGTCTCCTTCTGCCAGAGAGAGACCAGGCCCTTTTGGTCCCAGCCTGGGCCTCAGTTGCTCCCAAACACCATGGAGATGAGCAGGAGGAGCTCACACCGCCAAACCCCAGAAAGGAGCTGCCATGAAGCTCCACATGAGGAGAAGCTGGGACAAAAACCACTCATTATTCGTCTTGGGTCTTCCCAGGGCTGCCCTCAGCCTTCAGGCTCTGTGTCTTTGCTGTGTGCTGCCGGCACAGGCTGGCGGGCAGGGTCCCCACCCAATACAACATCATCCAAAGGTTGGGCCCTGAGCTCCAATTCCAGAGCTAGCATGGTCAGCAGGATGGACCACCATCATTCCCTCCTTCCTCCTTGCACAGCTTCCCATGACAATCTATGTGCAGCGTGCCTGGCCCTGGAACTCTGCCTGGCGCAGGGCAGGAGCTGGTCAGGATGTGATGAATGAACGAGTGGATAGATGAAGAGGCGAGGGAACAGTGAGTGATTTCAGCACAAAGCAAGCAACCTCAAGGCCTGCTTTTCCTTGAGCTGGAGATGTGCCCTGTACTAAGCAGCAAATATTTTCTAGGAATGACTCATTTTGGACACTCTCCCACGTGCCGATTCTGATGATTGCTAGAACAACGAGGACGATGACAGCCAACACATTAGGGCTGTTCTAAGCACTCGGTGTGTGTTATTTCATTTAACCTTCCCGACCACCCTGAGAAGTTACAGATGAGGAAGCTGAAGCACAGAGAGCTTAGGTAAGCAGCTGACAGTCACACAGCTCACAAAGGCAGAATAGGGCTGTGGACTCAGGGGACAGTCTGGTTTGAAGGCCTGCACCAGCCTCATTCCCTCCAGTCTTCAAGTCCTGGGAAGACGAACCCCTGAGGTATGGCTCTCCTCCACCACTTGAGACTGGGCCACAGACACTGAACAGGTAAGGCGCAGCTGTCTTCTCCTAGGTTCGCAGGCCCCTGGGCCTCAGGCAGCCCCTTCCTCGGATGCTCCAGCGCTGTTCCAGTTTCTAACTGGTTGCCAGTGCCCTCCCTCCTCTGGCTCTGGTTCTCCCAGGGGCCTGGCCTGATAATGTCCTTACATCCGGGAACTCCATGTGGCCTCTGGGGCCTAGGACTCACCCTACAGATTCCTGGACTCCAGCAGCCCCACACCGATGGCCCTCCTTAGCCCCTAAACCTCAGACAAAATGCCCTCCACCAAGGGCAGGCCAGGCCCCAGAAGCCTCCACAGAGTCAGAAAATATAGGGCGAGCCCTGCCCCTGCCACTTGCTCTGGCTGTGTGACCTGGGGCAGGTTGCTCAGACCATCTAAGCCTCAATCTGCCCCTCTGTGAAATAGTATAAATAGCACCTCTTCACGGGGTGGCCGTGAAGATCAATTATATAACCTTTGTGGTGCTCTGAGACAGTGAGCACTAGGTGAACCACAGCTCTGTGACCATCACTGTCACCATCATCACTTGAATGTGAAGAATCCCAGGTGAACAACGCTCAGCACCAGGGCCTGGGGCCCACTTAGAGTCCTGGGGTTTTTGCAAGCCAAGTGCAAAAAGACCTGCTCCACTTCTCTGCCTCAGGCCCAGTAGCCCAGCCTTCTCCTCTCTGCCCCTACCAAGCCCCATTCTCAAAGAGCAAGGTCTTCCCCAGACCATGTCCTGGGTCAGCTCCCTGGGCAGAGGGCAAATCTTGCCCACCAGGGCTGTCTGGGAGCTGATGCTGACCTCTGCCAAGCAAGGACTCCACCAGCTAAGGCACCTGTCTGAAACCAATGTCCCCTTTCCCTCTCACCCATCTCTGGCTGACTTCTGTCCCAAGAGCAAGGATGCCCTCTCACTAGGTCCCCTGGACCCTCTCTTCACCCCTACGCAAGCTGGCCTGTGTGTCCCTAAGACATGGTGGATCCTGGAGGCGCACCAACATCCCGCTTCTAGCACTCACCTGTGAAACCTCTGGAGTTAGAAAACTCACCCCTCCCCACTCCTTTCTAGTGGGGGCTGCCCAATAAGCCCAGCTGGGGGCCCAGCAGGCTGGCCCCTCTGAAGTGCCCCACCTGGGACATGCTTCATGAAAATCACACACTCAGAGCAGAGGTGATCCTAGGGCCCACGGAGGGGATGCCCCCCACAGAACCCCACAGGCAGCTCCAAGGGAGGCCCTGTCATCCATGAAGGTACCTCATCGCTCCCTGGGGGTGCTGCAGAGCCATCCTCATGGTGGGGGCTGCCCCTGCCCTCAGGCACCCACCTCTCCATGCAGGCCTGGTGGGGTGGAGCAGAGGCAGATGGGCTCTGGGGTGGCAGTGGGAGGGGGGATCCCACCTCCTCAGCAGGAAGCAGGTTGCTTAGGCCAGATGGAGCACTGGGGGTCTGTGTGGGGAGTCTGGGCCATGTGCCTGTGGACACTTTTTAAAAAAAACATTTTTAACATTTTAAAAATAGTTATATACTTATTTTAGTGGTTTAAAAGAAAACCTAACTGGCACATCAGACGGCGAATTCACACACAGGGCTAAGTAAAAAAGTGAATTGTCAGAAAATCTATTTAAATAAAAACAGTAAGCAAATAACACTGTGGGCAGCACACAGAGGTGGTAAATAAATAAAGTCCTGGATTACTAAGAGGAACCAGGGTGAAGAGTCCAGTCTGGATGCAGTGGGACGGTGGGCAGCGGCGAATCTCGCCAGGGGCTAAGCTGCAGCAGTGGGACCCTGAGAGCCCACCGGGGGCTGCAGGGCACGTGCCCTGGAGTTCAGGCTGCCGCTTTCCATGCTGGGGTCCTGCTGGGTCCACTGGGGCACCTGCCCCTCTGCCCAGCTCATTGGTGAAGCATTGGATGAGGCAAGGTGGTTCCAGTCCCCTAAACCAGGCGATGAGGGTTCGGTGACCTTCGGAGCCAGGCCCAGGTGAGTGTGTGGATGCCCCAGGCTCCTAAACAGGCTCCCAGTCCCCAGCTGTTCCTTTGGAACAAGCACACCTGGGGTCCTCCTGGCATAAGTGAATCAGAGCTTTGGAGGAAAGGGCCCAAAATCCACCTGACAGCTCCCCGGGTGCGTCTGAGGCCAAGAGCGGCTGCCATCCCCAGGGCGTTTCCTGGCTGCTCCCCAACATGGGCAAGGCCTGGGCTCCAGGCTCCAGATGCCCCCGTGGAGCAGCTGACTCTGGGCCAGGGTCACTTGACCTCAGACCGTAGTTCCAGAAGCCCTGGGCCAGCAAAAGAAAACAGTAGGGGCTCTCAGCCCGAGGACGGCATGCGCTGGGGTCTTTGGTCAGTCTTTGTTTTCCTTGTAATTGGGCCATCTTGTGGCTTTTTTGAGGCCACAGAATGTTGAGGCCCCTGTGTGTTCTCAGCAGAATGGTGGCTCAGTGTTATGGTGGCTCAGAGTTATGGGGGTTACGTGCTGGGCACTGGCTCAGCAGAAGGCTCTGTGAGGAATGTGTCGTTTACCTTCCTCTGCAGCCACTGTCACCAATGCCACAGACAAGACCCAAAGGACAGAGTGGGGTGGGGAGGGGACCTGTCCAGTTAGGTGGAGCTGGGCACCCAGAACCCCGCCTTGGGGCTGCCCTGGCTCTGAGCACTCCCTGGAATCATGTCACACAGGACAAAGTCCTCAAGGTCAGGGGAGGAAAGGGGTCGTCCTCAGGGGCTTCTGGTGTTTCAACAGAGAAGGAAAGGAAGTCTTTCTGCATCTCTTTGAAAGTCTGATAGAGAAACCGGAACGGGACCCGTCCCCCTGGCCCACCCCAGGCCGCTCACCGATATTGGAATGCTTCAGAAGGCGGCAGATCCGAGCCTCTCTCTCCAACTTCTGGTGATCTGGGGGACAGAAAAGAACAAGGCGTCACCTCCTGCTCCAGCAACTGGTGGCCCACGGATCGTCCATGTCAGGAGAGGCCCACCAGGGTGTGCCAGGGCCTCTGATGAAGAGAGGAGTGGTTGTGACCCCACAGTGAGTAGTCGTGCCCCCGCCAAGGGAACACCCTTCGTGGGCACCCCCTGGGCCACTGGTGGCAAGGCTGGGGCAGGGACCAGCTGGCTTGTGTTTGGGGTGGAGAGGCCCATTCGGGTGGTGAGCGCTACTCACTCGGGGCTAAAAGTTTCCCTGGATGATTCAAAGTCAGCAGTGCACTGATTTAATCCTCCACTTATTTGTCCTAATTCCATACTCTTTGGAGCTTTTGGCTGAAGCCAAATTTGTTCTTCCGAGGCAGGGGAGGGGCTGTCAGAATGGGGCCGGGAGGGGGTGAGGGTGTGCCCCGGAGCCGGCTGGCAGGAGGAGGAGGGGAAAGCCTCAGAAAGGCCTTGCTTGGGGGATAGAAGTAAACTGGTGGTGAAGCAGGAGGTGGCCCCTCCTTCCCTCGCCACTCTCCTCCCACCCCACAAGGTGCAGGGCCCAGATCCCCAGACACTGGAGGCGTGGAGGTGACTGGTGCCCCTCGGGTGACCCCTCCACTGGCCCCCAAAGGATGGAGCAACTTATTTGCCAGAAATTTTACATTTCAAATACAGGCAGGAGGCTTTTAAAAACTGATGGAGATTGTAATAGCAAAACCCAAAACCCCACACTTCCTCTGACAGGACGCCATGCGCTGCAGTCCCACAGGGTCCCATACTGCAGTGCAACAAAGTCCTCCACCAACCCCCACGTGCAGGTAGCACCCACATCCTAATAGTATGTAGGGAACGAGCAGCAAAGGACGACTCACAGCGTGCTCTTATTTACACAAAGGTCGAAACTAGACAGTCGGTGGGCACAGCCGCGCATGGGGAGCTGCGAGGAAAGGACGGCGCATTTCAGAGCTCAGGACGTGACCGGGGAGGGCGCATTGGTGTCTGGAGTCCCCTCCACCTGCCCAGTGCTGAGTCCCACCACAGGAAAGGTGAGCAGGGCCAGGGGGCACATAATTAATACACAAGACAAGACCTCGGGGATGCCTCCTTCGCCAGGAATGCCCAGTAGCGCCCAGGAGCAGGGAAAGAATGAGGCTGCAACGTCACAATCTTCCTCGGGAGGCGCTGAAACCTCTGATCCCTGGGCTTGGCAGAAACGTGTCTGCCTGCAGGAAGGGAGGCCTGGCCGAGTCATGTTTGGGGTCAGTTCCCCTGGAGCAGGTGTGGCGGTGGTGGCCTGGGGTACAGGACATGCCTGCAAACACGTATAGGCCTTGAGTGAGAAAGCCACGCCTGCAGATGGGAAGGTCTCTGGGAGCGGCATCCCCCGACTTCCCCCTCCCAGGACAGGCATTCGTCTCCCTGCCCTGGCCACCTGGCTGCCATCTGCTTCAAGCCCAGCCGCCTGGCATCCCACGAGAGGGATTCAGAGGGATCTGACAGAGCCTCCAGGTGGCACAGAGGGAGTCAGACCCCACCCCGCTGTTTTGCTGGAAGCCCAGGGTATACCTGCTCCCTCCCCCACCTGCACACCCACCTCAGCAAGCACTGCACAGTCTTCCAGAATACCCCAGTCCCTGCTCCCTCTCCTTCTCCTCTCCTCTCCCACTGAAGTGGGAGCTGAGGTGCCAGGAGCCTCAGGGATTTGTGATGGCAGAACTGGAACCAGCCCAAGTGTCTGTCAGCATCAGAATGGAAAAATCAAACATAGTCCTAATAGAATACACATGGTGTGGGCTCCGTTTTCCTATCTGCATGGAGCTCAAAACCCACAACACTGGACACACCTGCGGAGGGGAGGGGTCCACGCACGAGGCCTGGCTCCAGTGGAAAGCAGGGGATGGATTCTTGCAACACCCCCAACCCCCATCCCTCTGGGGTGGGAGGAGGGAGGGCTCTCAGTGTGCAGGGCGGTGAGTTCATGGGGTTATTGTTTTATTTCCTAGTGTCTTTCTTACACTGATTCTGAACATTTTTCAGACATAGAGAAAAACCGCAACAATAGTACAGAGCAATCGTGTACAGCACTTCTGTACAATCTCCCTGCCCCGCCCCACTTCCATGTGACACACTCGCTTTTTCTGACGCGTGTGTAACACCAGGCAGCACTCAGGTGTGTCTCATAAGGACAGGGTGTCCCTTCCATAATCTCAACGCAGGTCCCAGATTCAGTAAATCGAATGCAGATATGACACTCATGCCTCTAAGCTACAATCCACGTTCCACCTTTCCAACCTGTCCCAATGAAGGTGATGGCTCATCTTTCCCCAGGACAGGATCCAAGCCCGGGACCACACATCGCCACGGGACGTGTGGGCCAGCGCCAGGCTGAGGGAAAGGAGGACCTGGGAGAGAGGCGGTGGAACCATGGCACACAGTTTCCTTTTGAAAAATTGCCTGATTAGAGTTAAATCAATAAAATCATAAATCCAAACCAGGAGAAAGATGCAATTGTGAACGCACTCTCCTGGGACACAGATAATTTACATGCCTGTGTTTTATTACTGAGACATTGCCAAGAGCTGAGCCCCAGCCCAAAGATGATACCTATTCCTGAGCACGTGTTTAGGGAGATAATTATTTGTGTGGGGCGAAGAAAGAGCACCTGGCTGCCCAGTCCTGGCACCAGGTGTCCACTCACGGTGGCCATACAGATTGCTGACTGGTCCTCTTTCTGTAACACCCACAACAGCACCTCGACCACCTCCTCTCAGCAGCTGCAGTAGGTTAGCGCTCAGAGAGCCGCTTGGAAACCATTAACAATGACACAAGATCTAAGCTGGTAACATCCAGACACACACGTCGTATAGCGTGCTTCACTCTTGGTGCCGGGTTTATGGCTAATGTTGTTTTATTCGTTAACTTCCCCTCCCCCAGTTTTGACAGTGATCATGTGTTACTTCCATAATTTAGCAAAGCATTGTTTTTAAAAAAGATTTTGATCCTGTCTCCAGTGAGCAAGCTACTGATTCAATATGACAAGGATGTTTCATAAAATCTGCTATGGTAACATTTGCCCTTAAATTTTAAAAAATCAGGCAAAAAATAAATCTAAGCGGATATAAGGTGACTCTGGATGGGACTGAGAAGCCACAAGAAGGAGGGGGCAGAAGGAGGCGGCATTCTCTCTGGACCTGGCTCAGACAGCCTCATCTCAGGGCAGGCCAGAATCCAGCTTCCTAACTCTGTGCACATACTATGATTTCCTTTCTACAAAACCAGGGACATTATTCTCAGCTTCCACATTAACATCGTAAACCCCTTGTCATGAACAAGGTTAAGTAAGTTAAACTGAACCCAATCCAGTGCATAAGAAGTGTGCCCTGGCCCTAAACAGTACAGCAGAACCTGGCCCTCAACAGTACAGAAGAATCTGGGGGAAGCCCCAGCTCAGTCCTGTTCCCTGCCCCAGACAGTGGACCAACCACATCTTGCTCATCCCTGCCTGCCAGCCTCATTCTGGGGGGCTCTGGTCCCCAGGGAATCTGCTGGACTCAGGAGACCAGAGCAGTGGCCACTGAGCAGGTCTCAAGGCCAGCAGGCCTGTGGCGAGAACACAGCCGCAAGTCTGCCAGCAGCGGCTCCCTACCTGTCCAGGGCCCTGTCAGTGCCCCTGGGACCCCAGCAGGGCACCCCTTCCTGAAGGAGGTCCCAAGAGCCCTCCTGAGTGGCCAGCCTTGGCTATGCCCACTACAGTGACGTCCTGGTCAGGGCCAGGCAGTGAGTCACGTAGCTCATCCAGGTGACCCAGTAAGAGGGGCTTACCAGGTGTGGGGGCTGTGGGGGCTGAGTGGCCAGGCCTCAGGGCTGTGCTAGGTTCTCTGAGGGGCCTGGAGTTGGGACGCTCAGGGTCACCCAAGACCCCTGATGCTCTTCATCCTCATTGCCACGTCTCACAGCTGGGCAGGGATGTCCGTGTGGGTAACATTTTATTAGGTAGTATTGATGCAAGTCACAGAAGAGGTGCCACACCTCTGTAGGTTGTGAATCCAATGACAAGGAAACCCCAAGAGCCCACTCCACCCGACAGCTGGTGCCTGGTCAATTCCTCAGAAGGTGCTGGATCCCCTCTCCCCATCGGCCAATGTCAGGCTCAGGCTCACGGCACTTCTACGCGCACACTGGCTCCCAGAACTGCAGTTCCCTGCGATGCTGAGTTTTCCTAAAGGAGTCTAAGAACAGCCTCTGACATAGACCATGGGACAGAAAGCAGCAGCTGGGGAGTGAGGACACAGGCTGAGCCCCTCCCAACCTCCAGGGGACCTCACCCCATCAAGAGGAGACTCCTCTGCCCTCCTGCCCTCCCTTTTCTTCTCCCATCCCAAGACCCCTGGCCAAGGTCTTGGGGGTCCAGGGCAGACAGTCCCTGGGGCACAAAAAGCCAATGACAGCAGTGCCTGTGCCTCTTGTTATAGCAGAGTGATGAGCAGAGTGTTCTCAGACCCTGATTCTGCCTGTGGAGACTCAAGAGGTGATGCTTCAGTGGGGTTTTAGAGGATGAGTAGGAGTTTGCCTACTCATGCTGGAAAAAGACTTGGTTCTCACACCCCCTCTGATGTGAAGCTTGGAGAGGGAACTCGAGTTCAACCAGCTCCTAAACGCTTGGGCATGTTGCAAATCTGCACCCTAAACGGAGGCAAGGGCGTATGTGTGTGGGCCTGTATTTAAGCCAGAAGGTGACTGACCCATCAGTGCGGATGCAATTCTACACATGCGCACACGTGTGTACACATTTACACACCGGCTCCCCAAGGGGGTGGCTCAGAGAGACGCTGGCAAAAGCATTGCTATTTATTTCTCCTACCAGAGAAACATCCCACAGATCAAATACAGCATTCATTTATACCCCCATAAAAGCATTTATCAAAAAAACCCCCAAACAACAACAACAATAAACCCCATAAACAATTGTCCTCAAAAAGATC